GCCGCCCCTGCCCGCCGGCCCGCGGGCGCTTCCGCTTCCGGCTCCCCCCACTGTCGTCACCAGGGACGCTTAAAGGGCCCGCGCCCTCCCTCCTAGCGACAACTGCGAGCGCAGAAGCGCTGCGGTAAAGCGGGCCCCAGGGAAGTACCTGAGGCAAAAAGAGCGAAAAAGCTAAACTTTCTTAAGGGCAGGTATGTTTATTTCATGAATGAATACACCACCGCCTTCCACAGGGTCGATACGGAATGTTGTACGCCACGAAGGTTCAATACCGCAGCTCTGGAAAGGATACAGCCGGAAACGTGTGTGTGCCACAAGCGAGAAAATCGTTACATTTAACAGAGCAGTTTACCACAGGGAACACAGAATTCATGGAAAGGTGTTGAGCGTTTCTAATTTTAATTCTTACTATCTTCAGAACTTGTGCTAGTAGTTATTCTCGTTAATACACGGTACAGCGGTTAGCTATGTATCTACACGCGGTCGTGTCGGAGCGTTTCTGGTGATCTTCGCAGTGCTCTGCTGTCAAGTCTCCGTAATCCTGTAAAGTGGAGAGGTGCTGCATACCAGGTACATTTTAGACAGTCGTTTTGAATCACTGTAATTAAATATTCAACAAAGAACATAACTTACCACGTGACTCCCACTAGCCAAAAGTTTCCCCCCCAAATTGTTTTGCTAATGTAAGAATATACCAAAACACCAATCACACAGATGTTTATAGCAACAGTTTAAAACAAGGTAATTCACATACCGAAGCACAAAGAGTATAGTACCACTGCGGTTTAAAATGTGCAAGTACTGTTTAATGACCTGAACGGAAAAAAGCACAATATAAAACTCATCTATCGTCTCTCCTCTATCCAACTGCAGCTCGCGGCTCACCATACACTGTTTAAAGGAAGAGTGGATTCTTTTATAAATAATGGTTTGACAGCGTTTGAGAATTTTTAAAAAGTACTGTCATCGTGTATTTTCCTACTATAAATATAACACTAGTACATTGTGTTTCCGTCCCTGGTTTTGCAGAACCAGTGCAGTTTGTTTGCAAGTAAGCCAATGTGCGTGGGCAGGTATTTGCAGACCCCCAAGAGATGACAACATCGTGACGCGTTCAGCTTTGGACAAAAGCATGTGGGTGCATATAAGAGTTACATCCTAAGCCACTGTGAACTGTAAGGAGAACTGCAAGGTTTTACAGCACACATAAATGGAGCTAAGGAAATAAGTTATTTTAAATTGCCTCAAGATAACAAAATAATTGCATTTTACGTAATCTCATGTGAGCTTTAGAAGAATCCTAACAGCACAGAGAGCTGCGGAAAACTATGACTTAGCCTTCGCTAGCCTCATAGCAGCACCACGCAGAGGAGGGTCACTGTCTCTGGGCAAGGAAGAGTCACTCGTTTAGTTTCAACCGCCAAAGTGACAGAATGATATTGTTCAGCTCAGAGAATTACAGCTCTCCTGTTTTCTTTCAAAGTAAGATTTTAAGAATACATCAGGAAGTCTGTAGATGGGGAGGATGCTGAGCAGGCACAGCCCAGTCACATTAAGACGACTCTCTCCGTCTCTGATGCTGTAACATGGCCACCAACTCCCTCGCTCAGGTCTTTCTGCAGGACAAGAAAGCCCTTCTAACGTGCAGGAGCAGAGAGTGGGACAAGCCAACGCCAATATGTTGTCTGCAACTGGTAAAGACTGCTTTGTATCTGAAAACTCAAAGGGGTTTTTTTTCCAGAGGTTGGGGGAAAACTTGTTCTATCAGTTGTTTCCAATTTGTGGAAAAATGTATCTTTAAAATAGGAATGAATAAATGGATGATATGGAATAATTATTCTGAAGTTATGCTAGTGAATATGTCGCAATAATATTTAATAGCTGAAATGTACTGACACAGAAAATTAAAGTTCAAATACTGAATATATTAATATGCAAAGTTTTGTTTGTCTTTTGAAATTAAACTATTTTTGTTGTGCCTCAGATTCAAATATAAGCCTTACAAATATCCATAGCCTCTCTTATAAATTAAACAACTTCTAAACAATACTTGTCAACATTCAAATCTCAATAAACTTTGGCAGCTCTTTGGTAAATACTTATAAATATCAATTAACAAAACAGTAAAAAGGGAGTGGGCAGGCTACCAGCAGGGAGCCTCCTTTTTTTTTTTTTTTTTAAATTCCATGAAGGGGAACAGAAATGAGAGCTCCCTAAGCAAAAACTATTTCCAAGACTGGTATGTTTTAATGAAATTAGTAGCTCATCCTTCTTTTCTCTGTCTATTCAAATACTATTAAATCAGGATTTTAATAAATTTCAGACAATTTTTTGTGCTCTACCATATATACATATTCAAAATTTATACACAAACAATAGTGGCTGTTTACGAGTAGAGTTAAGTTTCAGTGCATTTGACAATTCATTATTGCACACAGAATAATCTCAAATGCCCAATTATTCTACTGGATAAATGTAGCAACAAATATAACCTCTTATATTTTTGAACATTATCTTTCTGTAAAATCTTGCGTTGGTGACACCTTCGGTGCCAAAGAAGTGAAAGGATCTGCGGGGGATCTGTTGCTGGTTATTCTTGATGGTATAGGAGGTGCAGGTGGTCTTCTTGCTGGCATTGTATAGAAGCAATCAGTAGAACTTTTATTCCAGTCATTATCAAAGTTGAAGTCTGAACCAAGAAAAGTATTTTGTTCAGTGCCCAGCAAATCTGGAGATCCAGCCGACTTCCTGGAAGCGATTTGCTTAAAATCTGGAACACTTTTAGATGGCTTTAGCTTTACATTGAAATTCTCCTCCTCATCATCAAACGTTACCCATCCTTTTGGCTGTACATTTTTTACCATAAGAGATTTACTTCGCAAGCAAAAAGTGTTTTCAGATGCATCAACAGAAAATACAGGCTTGCTTGTATTACAACTGGGGGGATTTAGAGAAGGGAAAGGATTGCAAGCGGCACGTCCTTCTAGTAAACGTGAAGTTATTTCAGACTCTTGCGTTTCCGTTCTAAATGGGTTTCCAGCACTAGGAGTTCTTTCAGTGAATGGGTTTGTGCAGTTCGGTCCAGTAATAAATGGATTTGGAGAGCTGCGCGTATGTTCCTGGGATGTGTTAAAGGTTGGAATAGGAGGCATTGCTGGCATGCAATTTACAGTATTCAAAATATCAGCATTTCTTTGTGTTGCTGAAGGCAACTGTATCAACTCCTTTTGGTTTGAAGTCGGAACAGGTGATGTTCGAACAGACGTCTGCATCTTTGACACAAGCAGCTTAAATGACAAATCTTCAAAAGGGTCACTGTTTAACTGTGTTTCAAGTTTAGTGCCGTACGCTCCATTTGTTTTAATCTGGAAAGAAAACAAGGTGCTTAGTAATCAAGTGGCTGTCTTTTTAAGGTTATTACTAACTCCCCATTTCTCACTCTTCTAGGAGAGGAAAAGAAGCTCTTGGGCTTAAACTGAAACTTCAGTACAATCTGGTTGTATCTTGCACAGTGCACTTGTAGAATGATTGCTTCTTTTCTGGAAAACAATAACGCTTAACCCCTTCTCTGAAGAAAAGCCTACTTCTAGTAGTCAAACACAATTTTCCCCCTTGTTGGTTGACGCAACTTGAATCTACTTCATGCGGGTCAGAATCCTAGCCAAAAGCACTAGTGGACACTCTGTAAGAAAATTGTTAAGAAACTTGGGAAATGATGCTGTATTCTAAACAAGTGATAACCCAGCACAAATACGAAATAAAAAGCTCTAGGATTCATTGTTTGAGAGTTTATAACACTGATGTTACAAGCCATATTTAAGCATCACAATGAAAGGAAAAATTAGTGTTATTAGTATATGCACTTCAGCCATTTCTATGTAGACATACGTATGTATGTAGGCATCTCCAACACTTTTTGACATGTGAAGGTACAACCACCAGTTTGTAATATTTTAAAATAGCAAGTTATCATTGTTTAGAATAATACCGAATGGAGAAGACAGGGTTTTCTCCACAGAACTTCTCATCTTTTAAAAACAAAATGTTCCTGGCTTTATAAATTTCTTCAAACAACAATGCAGCTTTGTGTCTTGTAACAACGGTCTGAAAAGGTAGAATATCTACCTTTGTTCAAATCAGCACACTGACGGAACAGGGTGTGGAGCTTCCCATTATTAAACAAATGCAAAGAATTAAGCTTCAATTAAAACAGGTCTTGAGAATTCAAATTTCACAAACAAATTTGTCATTTTAACACATCACCTTAATATACCCAAATAGCTTGGATATTTAGCATGAAAATTCTGTTAATGAATGTTTTGTTGAACTAAGATGCTAGCTAAAACTATCAACTAAAATACAATAGTATTATAGCCTAACCACAATCTTTAAACATCTTGGGTTTACTGCATTTATTGTGAATACTTTGAAGCATGTCTCCACATATCCACTGCCTAAGCAGCTATGCAAAATTAGTCTACAGGCTTTAGAGACTCTCTGGAATAATGAGAATATAATAAGTTTTTCCCAGTGTATCCAGCATAGCAATTTCTTTTAAAAAATTGCAGTTGTAGCTTGAATTGGTTGGCAGGAGAAACTAAGTATGCTGGCAACAATGCATTTTCTCTGGTGGT